TGTTTGGGAGAGAGGGATGGAAAAGAGGGGTGGTTATATTGGGTTATTTTGCGGGTTATGGTTGGGTATATTTGGTTTAGGGATGGAAGGGGGGAGGGGGGAAGGAGAGGGTGGAAAGTAGGGAGGGAGGGAAGGAGAGAGGGAGGGAAGAAGGGAAGGATAAAGAGAGGAAGGGAGGGAGAGAGGGAGGAGGGAGGGAAAGAGGAAGGGAAAGTGAGGGAGGGTGAGAGAAAGAGAGAGAGAGAGAGAGGAGATACAAAAAGGATATTGTCTGTAAAAAGCTATTCTTAAAGCAGTGTTGACATAATGACTTTGATAACATGAATGGCAATGATTATGGTTACGATTTAATGATAAATCGATAAAATAATTATAAGATTGATACTAGTATTAATGAGGATGAAAATGATAATAATGAGTTGATGATAAAAAAGAATCAAAGTATTATCCATGATGATAGTAGAAGGAATAGTAACAATAATAAGGAAAAACAAAACAATAAAAAAAATCCCAAAATCAACAAATTATATTTCTTCTCACCATTTTCTTGTGGGAACATAACAGGTTTATCTCCATCATATCATTCTGATTGAGCGGGTAATAGTTCTCTAATACCAATCTAATTATAATAATCACGTGCTTTTCTCATGGACAGCATTCATTTGACGCAATTCGATAAAGTTCTTTGTGTCATTTAATCAGGTTAAAGAATTGGATTAAGAGAAGGCCTGTGTTATGTATACATGGCAGGTATATAATGGAGGCGAACTATTTTGCTGTGAAATAGATGAATTAATGATGATTTAATAAACTGATGAATTGATGAATGGATAAATGGATGAACGAATAACTAAATGCATAGATTAATAGAAAAAAAAACGGATGGATGAATAGATGAGTGAATAGATGGATTAATTTGTAAATAGATAAGAAAATTAGATGATTCAATACATGAGCGAAAAGATGGATAAATATATAAATAAAAAAGAAAATTAGATGATTCAATACATGAGCGAAAAGATGGATAAATATATAAATAAAAAAGAAAATTAGATGAATGAAAAAATAAAGGACAATAAAGGAATGGGTGATGAATAGATGAATAGCATTTGGGTTTAAGGGGAATGGTTATCTGGAACAAGAAATAAGGGATAGTCTTACATCAGTTCATTCCGAAGAAAGATATCTCAACATCTATTGATGTTCGCTCCCCCCTCCCCCTCTCTCTCTATCTCTCTCTAGCCCTATCTCCCTCACCCTTCCTCCTTCCTTCCCTCCGTCTCCTTCCATTTCCCCTCCCTTGCATAACTCTCCCTTCCCCTTCCCTCGCTCCTACCTTCTCCTTACCCTCCTTTCCCCCTCCTCCCTCCTACCCTCTCCCTCCTTTCCCCCTGTGCTGGCGCAGCGGTAAGGTGCTGGTCTAGCAATCTTGCGGACCTGCGTTCAATCCCACGCCCGGCCAGTGAGTGGTAACCCCGGCCACTCCTTGCACACAGGGGGAGATTTGGGCAAAATAAAACAGACAGTATGTCACAGTAAAGAATATCCATTGTAACAAATGGAATTAAAACTAAATCTAAATCTAAAATCGTTCCTTTCCACTCCCCTCCTTCCTACTCCATCCCTCCTACCTCTCCCCCTCCTCCCTCCTTCCCTCTCCCCTCTCCTCCCTCCCTCCCCCCTCTCGCTCACTCAACCCACGCACGAATGCTTCTCCCGCATCATTTATCACGTAAGGTCCTTCCCGCCGGTTCTCCTCAGCTCGCGAGAACAAACAGACGGACGACCATGAACCGGAATTAGGTAGCCAAAGGCCTTTGCGACTTAGAGCTTATGCATTTTTGATGTTGTTTATCTCTGTATCTGCTTTGAAAGGAGCCACCGGCAGCTACATTTTACATTCCTACACTGTGAATGATAATGTAAGGATGATAATCTATAAATACACATGCGCACACGCGAACAACGGAGGCAAGCATACACACCCACTCGCATATATAGACGTATTGATACATGCACGTACGTACACCTATACATCGAAACAAAACCACAAAGACACAAGTATTAACACTTACCTATGTTCACTCATATACACAAACACACACACTTATACACAAACACACATACAAACACATACACGCTGACAGATACATGTTCACAAACACACATTTATCCATATACGTCCACGCATAAAGAAAATAAAATAGTATAAAAAAAACGAATATCTCAAAGGAACGAGATGGAAAAAAGACGCATTTTCCCCAACACTTACACATTCTATGAGAAAATAAATTTGTGTCACTGTACATGAAACTCCAATTTCGTTTTCAATTACGAGCAAATGTAACTGGCATCGGAGCGAAGTTGATAAATCAGATTTCACCTATTCCTCTCTCCCATCTTAGCGTGTAAAAGTGAATTGTAATTGGCTATCTGGGGTACGTAAAACTAACTTTTGATTGGCTGCCTCGGATGGTAGAACTGAGCGCCGGTTGGCCAT